GATCTTTTGTGGTAAATTTCATTCTATTGTGCTGAATAAGACTGTCACCTGGAAGTAAATTTTATTTAAAAAATCATTTAAAAAGAATAGAGGTATCTAACTGGAAAATCGAAACCAGAGTTCGATCTTGGTAACAGAGTGTTTACCATAGAAAGAAACTGGTTGTTGGTTGTATCCCAGATAGCATGACTATGTTGGGCCAACATTTGTTAAAGGTTGTATGGTTGGCGTTGGGGAAACAACATTGGGCCAACGTTGGACCAATGTAACCAAGTCAACCTTCCCGACCATGACTGAATTCCTTTATTGGCCCAACGTTGGTCCTACGTAAGCAACCTCCATTCACTTTACTTTCCAAGGAAGGAAGGATCCTGGTGTTGGCCCAACATTGGACCAATGTTTATAATACACCCTTAAAGATAGTATATTTACAAGTTGGTAGTAGTATGTTGGTCCAACGTTGGCCCGATGTTTCTAATACACCCTTGAAGAATGTGTCTTATCAAGTTGGTAGTATTATGTTGGCCCAACGTTGGCCCATTGTTAGTAATACACCCTTAAAGAAAGTGTCTTTCAAGTTGATAGTAGTATGTTGGTCCAACGTTGGCACAATGTGTGTAATATAATCTTAAAGAAAGTGCCTTATCAAGTTGGAAGTAGAATGTTTCCCCAACGTTGGCCCGGTGTTTCTAATACACCCTAAAAATGTGTCTTATTAAGTTGGTAGTATTATGTTGGTCCAACGTTGGCCCATTGTTTGTAATACACCCTTAAAAAACGTGTCCTATCAAGTTGGTAGTAGTATGTTGGCCCAACGTTGGTACAATGTTTGTAATACACCCATAAAGAAAGTGCCTTATCTAGTTGAAGTAGTATGTTGGCCCAACGTTGTCCCATTGTTTGTAATACACCCTTAAAGAACGTGTCCTATCAAGTTGGTAGTATTATGTTGGCCCAACGTTGGCACAATGTTTGTAATACACACAAGTGTTATTTTGTGTAGATGTTTCAAAAATGGGATATTTATATTGGGCCAACGTTGGCCCAATTATTATACTGCCAACTAATTGATGGTATCAATTTTATAATTAGCTGCTGAGCTTAACGTTGGGACAACGTTGGCACATTCTGAAATAATTAAGAGGACTTTCTATGTCCATGATTATCATTGGATGACTGCTTTTGTCTAGATATGATATTTTCAACATTTTAACTTTACACTTAAGTGATCACAGCACCAAAAGTGTTTTATTCTATTTTTTGAATTGTGTTTATGCTTATATATTTATTTGTAATAACCCAGATAGCAGAACATCGTTGGCCCAATCTTACATTATGGTTCTATTATATATGTTGGGTTACCTTGATTGGGCCAAAGATGGCCCAACATGGAATATTGAAAGCTGGTTATGTATAATGGTGCGCTAATGTTGGGCTAACCGTTGGCATTATATATATCATAAAACTATTATCATGAGAGAAAATATTTGTTTGGGGATTGGCATGGCCCTACAATGGCCCAATATACCATGATTCTGACTGAGCATCATGGGTAGACAACAACCGGGCTACTTGTAATATCCGCGCCATTTTTAATCTGACACGAGCGAGCGTAATGAGACTAATACTTTGCATATCTACATCCACTTTGTAAGTACATGTATTTATAATATGTTTGCTTCGACACAGCTTAATTAACATTCATAGATTAAACGATATCGTGTACAAATCTGTGTAAATCAGACACGGGGAAGTGCAGAGGCCAGGTGCTGTTGGGTCAACACTGTCCCAGATAGCATGCTAACATTGGGAGAACGTTGGGCCAATGTAATCGGTTACATCAGGCCAATGTTGGCAAATGACATTGACCCAGTTTAAGTTTGCTCATCGGACCAATGTTGGCCCGATATTTTGGTCCATTTGAGTGTTATTTCTACAGATATTGGCCTAATGAATGCGAAATTGTTGGCGAAACGTCAACAAGAATAATGGGCAGATGTTGGCAAATGACGTTGACCCAGTGTCATTTTGCTCCTTGGCCCAATGTTGACCCGATATATTGGACCAACATTGGGCCAATGTGTATAAACATTTAATTGTAACAAATCTGTATATTAACAAATCTGATCGTCTCTACAATCAGAAATAAATCTACAACCAATCCTACTTGAAAATACAAGCTAGCTAAAATAAATTTAAAATCCTTATAATTTATCAAAACAAAATAAATTATCAGTGATTAATTTTTTTGTTGTTATACAAGAAAAATAAATGAAAGTATAAAATAACAAATGTGTTTTGATACAGTTAAAACAATAAATAATTTGCCCCTTATTCAGATTGAAATTTGTGTCTAGTAGAATACATTTTCGAAGTCTACCACTTAATTTACTTATATACACTCAACGTCGAGTGCATGATCAAACATTTTGAAAATGTTGAACTTTTTGAAGTTAAAAAAAATATTCAGTACTAAACATAAATTGGGTTCTTTCATTTAAAATTTGTTCAGTGTACAAATTTTCTATACATGTATTTTATATTGGGCAACATTAAAATCAAAATCGTTGTAATGATGATGATTAAGCGTAGAAATGTAAGCTTATCACTTAATCACACCATGAAACAAAAAACACAATTATTCCTTGATTAACAGCTTAAACATATAGTGATATACTTTTAAATTTAATCGTATGTTTACTCTTTACTGAAAAAAGTAACAAATGTATTAAGTACCAAATACTTCAATTTTAGTGCTACTGGAGATTCTAAAGAGACATTGAGAACACAATCAAAGAATAGCTAAGGTATGCCAAGGACAGGGATGGGGGAGGAAAACGGACAGAGAAGAAAAGAAGTGGAAGGAGGAGACTGGAGAGAGAAGAGGAGACTTAGGAGAGGGATCAGATGGAAAGTGGCAGTGCCTAACTTTTTTCTGTAATATAGTGTGACATACCTGTAGTTCTACCCTTTTCTGTGTCTGTTTATCGGTTACAAACACGATGCAGATGCCAGAAGTAAAGTAAACATTAATATTGTAAGTAAACAAAATAACGGGACTCATATTAGTATTTTTTTAAGAACAGGAGGGCTTTGTTTATTTATAAGACGTGCTTATTGATACCTGTAATTTACTGAACTTGTGCATAACTTTATATCAGAGAGGGAGTATACAGTCATGTAACCCTACATGTATCGCTTGAAGTGAGCATCAACTTTTAGTTCTTTATTAATGTTTCCTTCATGCAATGAGCAATAAAATTATAGTATGTTATAATTCAATTTTATATTTTGATTTCTTTTTCGTCAGTTTTTTAATTAATGTAGAGCTACTTACAATGCAATACTTGTTGATGGCAATTCTATGAGATATTGAGAATATGTATTAAACTATTAATCTAGCATATATAGCATATATAGATAGTATTAAAGGGCTTTTACAATTAAACTGTACTACAAAACTTGTATAACCTTATTGTATATACTAATATATTTGTTTGTGAATTTTGAGGACAAATGGCCAACCAGTAAAAAGCAAATGAGTTGTCATGATGGAGAGCCAATCAGATACAAACAAACGTTGGCCCAAAAATGATGTTTTCCTAATATTGAAAGAATAAGTGGCACAACAATGGCTCAATAATATCCGTTCGTTGGTCCAACAATAAGCCAACAAGTTGGTCTGATTGAGGGCCGATGAGCAAATTACCGTTTGTCCAACATTCATTGCTTACAATGGCCCAACTGTACAAAAATGACGTTTGCCCAACATCGAAAAAATACATTGGCCCAACAGTGGCCAAATATTAACAGTTACATTGGCCCAACAATAAGCCAACAAATTGGTCTGATTGAGGGCCGATGAGCAAACTACCGTTGGCCCAACATTCATTGCTTACAATGGCCCAACTGTACAAAAATGACGTTTGCCCAACATTGAAAAAATACATTGGCCCAACACTGGCCCAATATTAACAGTTACATTGGCCCAACAATAAGCCAATGATTGGTTTGATTAAGGGCCGATGAGCAAATTACCGTTGGCCTAAAATGACGTTTGCCCAATATTGAAATAATACATTGGCCCACACTGGCCCAATATTAACTGTTACATTGGCCCAACAATAAGCCAACAAGTTGGTTTGATTAAGGGCCGATGAGCAAATTACCGATAGCCCAATGTTGAATGCAAACGGTGGCCCAACATAAGGAGCATTATTGGCCCAACAAAGGTCGTCCAATAACATTCTGCTATCTGGGATGTTGTTTAGGTCCCATACGAGAATTTTCTCTCATATAAAGAGTCCGAAATACTAGTATACCATTGAAGGGCTTTCAATTTGCCATTTACTTATTATTCAGGGCCAATGAGCAGTGAGGGAATTCATACTGTTATCACCTGCCCTGAAAAGGGACCTCGGTTTTAGAGGTCTAATTCGAAGGACCTGCAATTTTTACTTTAAAGTACCGCGTGTATGGCAAAGAACAGGCATGGGGTCATAAAACTTAGACGAGCTCACTTTTGATCTCTCTCACCTTTTCCAAAGAAATAAATATAGTGGAAAAGTGAGACTGGGATCAAAAGTGAGCTCATCTAAGTTTTTGTGGCTCCCAGGCCAGTTGCTATCTATCTATGTTTAGATCACGTGAATAAACTCAAGTGACCTATTGCTATCTGTTTTCGTCCGACGTCGTACGTTGTACGTCGGTCGTAAATTTTTTTTAGCTTCTTCTCTTGAACTACTAGTACTCAACCAATTTCAACCAACATCTAAGGATAAAGGGGAACGAATATTGTGAACTTGATGGTCCCCGCCGCTCTGGAGCCTGAGGGGTGGGACCAAAACCACTAAAATTAATGAAATCTTTAAAAATCTTCTTCTTTACTCCTGGACATCAAGCAGTCAAACTGTTGGTATGAGTGTAATGAGCATTGGATTTTCTACCAAAATTGTGAAATTCAAGGTCCCAGAGTCAGGAGTTCTAGTGCTAGGACAGGGTTTCGAAAATCCTCTTCTCTGCTCCTGGGTATTAAAAGACTAAAAAAGTACATTGTTATGATGAGCAAGAATGCCTCTTTTAAAATTGTGAATTTTGTGGTCCCAAGGTTGGGGGTTCTGGTGTTAGGGCGGTTCTATTGATTATATACTGAAGATGCATTAATTCTTTGAAAAACTTCTTCTCTGCTCATGGGTATTAAATGAACTAAGCTTTAATCTAAAGTTTTTATGAGCAAGAGTGTCTCAACCGAATCTGTGAATTACATGGCCCCTGTGTCAGAGCTTTTTCCTATTTCGTATAGGGGGCCCTTTTGATTATATAGTAAAATACATAAAATATTTGAAAATCTTTTTCTTTGCTTCAGGGTTTTATGTCAATGATCTAGGTATAAATATTTATGATGAAAACAAGAGGCCCATGGGCCTTATAGGTCACCTGAGAATCATGCAACAACTTTCAAAAGGTTAAATTTGGTTCATGTTTTAAGGTAGATGCTATGTCATAATTTTGAAAGAGGCTGGCACCATTGCTTATCAACTATTAACTTAGTAATTGCTTAGTTTGGTTACTTAAAGGGGCTGAGTGGTCGTTGCCATTTTTAGACAATTTCGATCTCCTTTAGAAGATCTCCATATCAAGATATACACAAAAAAAAATCAATTTTTAAAACTAATATGTATGAAACAAAAAATGCATATCAACTTATCAGTATTATTAAGCAATAATCAGTAGTGTCCCTACCACACATGAACCCCTGACCCTAGGTCCACACATTGCACAATTTATGAAAAGGCACACTTGCTTATCAAAAACAATTGATGGATACCAAGGAGCAGATTTCAAACAATTCATTTTCAGTATATAAGTAGAGCCCCCTCCCCCCGCCCCCTCCTTTGTATCCCTGACCCAGGGGCCTTGAAATGCGTAATCATGGAAAAAGAGCCCTTGCACATCATAACTATATAGGTAGTTTATTTGCTTATTACCCAGGCGAAGAGAAGAAGATTTTCAAAGACTAAATGTATTTTCACTATATAATCATTACAGAGCCCCCCTCTAACACCAGAACCCCTGACCCTGGGGCAATGAACTTCACAATTTTGGTAGAAGCATTCTTGTTCATGATAGTTATGTTCTTAGTTAGAATACTTAATAAGTAGGAGCACAGAAAATGATTTTTAAAGAATTAGTGCATTTTTCACTATGTAATCAATAGAGCACTAACCTAAAACCACTAAAACCAGAAACCCTGATCCTTGAGTCCTAAAATTCACAATTTCAGAAGAGGCACTCCTGCTTATCATAACTATGTACTTATTTGGTTTATTTAATACTCAGGAGCAGAGAAGATTTTCAAAGAATCAATGCATTTTCACTATACATGTATATAAATAAATCACCCTAACACCAGAACCCCTGACCCTGGGGCCATGAATTTCAAAATTTTGGTAGAGACACTCTTGCTCATTATAACAATGTACTTAGTTAGTTTCTTTAAAACCAAGAAGCAGAGAGGTATAATGTGAAAAAATTCTGTGTTCAAATATTGGAGATATATAATATTATACCGATCCAGGGAGCTCCTAGCACCCCTGCTGGGGTATTACCAGAGGGCTTCTGCGAAAGTTTTGCCTCACTTTTATATTGTACGTTATTGAATAAATGAATTTAAAAGGGAAAAAAGACGCAGAAAAGTATGCTGTATTTTCAAAGAATTAATGCATTTTCACTTTAAAGTCAATAGAGCCCCGTCCTAACACCAGAACCGCCTGACTCTGGGGCCATGAATTTCACAATTTGGTAGAGTCATTCTTGCTCATTATAACTATGTACTTAGTTAGTTTACTTGATACCCAGGAGCAGGGAAGAAGATTTTCAAAGAAATAATGCATTTCAATATATAATCAATATAGCCCCACCCTAGCTCTAGAACCCCTGACCCTGGGGCCATGCATTTCACAATTTCGGTAGAAGACTCAATGCTGATAACAATCATGTCAACTGTTTGACTGCTTGATGTCCAGGAGTACGGAAGAAGATTGCACTAATTTTAGTGGTTTTGGCCCCATCCCCAGGCCCCTGGGGGGCAGGGACCATAAAATTCAAAATTTTTGTTCTCCTTTACCGATAGATGCTATATGCCAAAATTGGTTGAAATTGGTTCAGTGCTTTCAGAGAAGAAGCTGAAAGTGTTCAAATTTTAACGCACGACGCATGACGACGGACGAAAACGGTGCACGTAGCAAAATGGTTTATTTCATGCCCCCTGGGTCAAGGGTAATGGGGGGGGGGGGTTACATATTCTGTAAATATATTAGTGCTTTGAAATCTGCTCTTTGGTATTAATCAACCATTTGTGATGAAATAAAATTTACGATAAAATTTCCAACATTTTGAAATAAGTGGCCACAGGGTCAGTGGTTCCTTTGGAGTGGGGTGCCAAACCAAATTCAATTGTTAGAAAGTTGTTATATGATACTCAGGTGACCTATAAGGACCATTGGCCTCTTGTTATTGATGTTGGTCAGTCGCGGTCGATATTCGAACTCAGGACCTTAAGATCACGGAGTGAGCGATTTGTCTACTGAGCTATCTGGAACGGTCTAGAAGGAGAAGCAGTATCTTAATAAAAGGGTCCTTGAAAGTAAGGGATAAAAAAGAAAATATTAGAAAAACACATTACCTATGCCACTGTGCCCAGACACACTGAGTTTGTATTTACTTCCTTCGTCACCAACAGCAAAACTGGAGTACTTGGCGTACCCTTTCTGTCCATTAAATCTCTGAAGATCCAAACGAAGTTCATGTTTTCTATTCTTTGTGAGTAAATGTAAAGCATCGTTTCCTGAGAAGAAAAGTTAAGAAATAATATATTATTATAAGTCATATGAAATGAAACGTAAAGATAATGAACCAGGATCTTGATCAGGGATCAACCGAAACAATACAAATTGTAAGCAGAATCAAAAAGGTCCCCTGAAAACGGAAGCTGAATCAGGTGCCATATAAGAGTAAACATCTTGTCAAAGCTTTTATAAGTTTCCTATCATGAACGAATAAACGGGTAAATCGTTGAAAAATTGCAAAAATTAAAAAAAAAATACTTAAATAAAAATTCGACCCAAAAATGGATATTGTTTACAAAGAAGGCCTTTTTGTCAACAGTAGAAATTACAATGAATGGGATATTCTCGTCCTTTTATTTGTCCATCAATTTCATTCTCCATAAATATCCAAATACGAAACAGATCCAAAAAAATGTGCAGTGTGCTTAATAAAAGATTGTAAATGATGTTGTTAATTAATAAAATATTGTCGATATGAAGATTTAAGAACAGATCTGCTATTAATGACATACAACACGTAAGTTCCATTTTGATTTTGAACAGATTGAAGAAGGTACTCGAGTAAACATACATACCCAGGGGACGCACACTCATTCCAGGCATCTGGTCTCCACTATGAGGTTTTCAACAGGTCTTGATTTGCTCTGTTTCCTTATCGTATTGTTTCGATAGATTTTTGAGTTTGATAACTGTCTCCATATTTTGTATTTTACAAAATTTAGAAAAAGTTATAGATTTTTGAGTTTGATAACTGTCTCCATATTTTGTATTTTACAAAATTTAGAAAAAGTTCAATGTGATTAAAATTGTCATTTTTTCACTTGATTTCCTACCTATCCAATAGTTTTTGCTAGGATCCCCAAAGCCAGCTTTATATTCGTTCCAGGTTCTATAGAAATTTGTACTCCCGTCCTGTCTTTTTTGTATGTACTTTGAATTAAAACAACGAAATATACCGGGTAAATACATTTATAAGATTACGTTGTATTATGATAGAATTCATAAATCTAAAAAAAAAATATTGTCATAATCCCTCACCGTCCATCCTCCACCCTCTGTTGTCATGTCACAGTACACATTCTTCTTTCGTTTTCCATCCGGATAAATGCACAGGATGAAAAGCCAGGTTTCCCAAATTTGGAAACCCGATGGAAACATATGGGAATCGTGACATCAGTAGTTTCCATATAGTTTCCATTTTATGGAAACCACATAGTGGTTTCCACATAGATTCCCGACATGGAAACAATCAACCTGTGGTTTCCCGTAAGTTTCCCAAGATAGGAAACCATGGAAACATACCCCGGTGGTTTCCACATAGATTCCCGACATGGAAACAATCAACCTGTGGTTTCCCGTAAGTTTCCCAAGATAGGAAACCGTGGAAACATGCCCCGGTGGTTTCCATGTAGATTCCCGATATGGAAACAACCAACCTGTGGTTTCCCGTAAGTTTCCCAAGATAGGAAACCATGTAAACATGCCTCAGTGGTTTCCATACAGATTCCCGACATGGAAGCAACCAATGTGTAGTTTTCCCCATGTTTCCCAGGCAGGGAAACTTTGAAAGTATATCTCAATACTAACCCACCTACCTTTTATTTTACAAAAAGTTAAATATTTAATTATGTTACCATATTTTTACCAATTATAGAAGTATTTCAAAGTGTTTACATGCTGTATCAAAATAATTAACTTCAAACAGTTAAAATAACTAGATGTGTATTTCTGTGTGATTAATTTAATATTTCAGCACCGTGAACGCAATTCAATTTTAATTTAATTTTATTTAACTGAATTTTATTTACTTTAATTTAATTTTGAATTTGATTTATCACTTAAGTTTTGGTAAACTCGTATAGAATGCGTGAAGTGGAATAGAAAAAAGTAAGTGCATGCAGTTATGTAGAAATCAATCATTTCCGATCCCACTTTCTTGAAGCTGTCTATGATGAATGTTCCTTTGAAAAAATGGAAGAGCTAAGGAAGGGTACATTTAATGAAATTATTTACAGAAAAGGTTTACTAAAAAGGTCGATTAAAAAGTAAATAAAGAAATATGTCAAGTTACGATTACTGATTAAGGACAGATGAGACGTTCCTTAATAAAATAATTAAATTTTTTTCCAATATTTTGCAATTGACATTGAAGAATTATTTTTACATAATTACATGTATTCACAAGACATCAAGGTACCTTACCAGGCATTTGTGTTAGATACCAGAGGTTGGCATTTCTTATATACCGGGGTAATCTGTCAGGAAAAAAATACTTCAGTTGGTATGTCAAAATTACATTTTTAGTGTTTCAAGTTTTTAAATACAAGTTTAGAAAGTGATAAAGATTTTGTTTTAATATGAATTAATATATTATAGATAAGAATCATTCATCGAATTGGCTGGGGGTTGAGTATTTTCATACTAATATTTTACTATTAATAGTTAATATATTTTTTTTTTAATTTATTAAATTATTTTTTTTTTTTTGGGGGGTGGGGGGGTTGCTTTTCATTTTTTCCTTGAGAAGCCCCCCCCCCCCCAAAAAAAAAAAAACGCTTTTGAAAAAGTCGCTATGGTCGGCCTGTGTAATTAGGGACACCTGTCCTCACGTGCCATTTCAGGTGGAGACACGTGCCGCGAAGACACCTGTCACTGTGTATTTTTTGTATATTCTATGTGAATTGAGACGGTTTTGTACCTAAAGGGAACAATGGGCTGTTGTTGAGCATGTACACACACAGTCTCCGACCGAAAATTCTTTTAAATTAAGATGATGATTCGTGTTTCTTTTATCATTTAAAAAATTGTATATTCCATAAATAAAGTTATACAAGAGAACATATTTATAAAATAACCTACATTTAAGAATTTCAATGAATGAACAAACTATTTAGAATTTTTATTTCAATTTTCATTACTGATTTAAAGTAAAACTATCCTCTTTAGAAATTAGATAATTTTCTATAGGTATTGAATAGATCTTAATTCTCGTCGTGTATAATTATATTAAATCAGAATGACGTTAATAGATCAATGTGAAATCAAAACTGTATTTAATATTGTTGATGGGTTTTTGTGTGAAATTTGTAATTTAACGTACTACAAAGACATTTATTAGATAAATGTTTATAATATAATTCATCACATAAAACGGTTTTTTTCTTTCCTTTTTTTTTGTTTAAATATGTACGCAGATCCCCGTGTAGTAAACGCCTGCACTTTTCGCATGAAATTACAATGTAGGGTCCTAAATGCACATACATTATATTTAACAAACTTTAAAATTTTCAGCCATTTTTTTTTTCTCCAAAGGCCATTGCTCTAGATAAAGAAAAGTCTATAATATTTTGCATGATTTTGTTTTCCTTAAGAACAATGGCTTTTAAAGCAGTGCATGCTAACGAAATCTATTAAAAGAATTAATTGTATAATTAATTCATTGTATAATAGTCACGATTGTATTTTTGTGCAGTTTTTGTTGATTTCATTCTATAAAGGTATGAAGTTTGTCAATACTTCAACAAACATTTCTTTATCTATGTTGTACACTACTTTATTTTTATTCGCCGACATGCTACTCTTTAAAAAAAAAAAACTTGCCTAACTAATAGACTCGATCTTCAGGCCTGTAGGAAAGTAATTTCCGTTAGAGTAATAAACTAACCGGGATTTTATTTTTACTAGCATACCTTACCAGATTTTACCAGAACGAAAAAAAAAACATTTAAAGAAATACAGGGCGGGACCAGCTATAAAGCTGTATGCATAAGTATAGCCCTGCACATCAACGAGTATAGATGACTTTCGACATAATCTTTCCCATGACTTCACTTATACCAATCACGACTAAAATACTGAATTAAAATACTGTTATATTTTCCTGCCTTTGATAAGATGTTAGTTTTGTTCCACCTAGAGATATAACTCTCCTATAAGAAAAAGGTTTTCAAAATTCTGATTCATTTTACAATTTTACGTGTTAAAATGATGTGGGAATTTTTTTAGCTAAAGGCCAAGGAGTTTAAAGTACAATGTACATGTAGCAATTAGAGAAAAGTCTAGCAGGTCCACCAGTAATATTGATAGCAGGCTCAAAATCTAATTAAACCCCGAAAAGGAGGGAGTTCAATTAGTAATTTAACCCCCCCCCCCCCAAAAAAGCACAACAACTTATTAGCAATGAATTATTAATCACCGAACTTTTCAATCATCACTATTGAAATAAAAAAAACTGTTCTTGATAATCATATTATAATTGTAGCTCATTTTCATGCCTTTTAGGATTCCTGTGGAAAGTTCACAATAAAAAAAAATGTGCTTTTAAAAATTTAACATCTTTTGGTGTGACATTATAAATTCATAATCATACATGTAACAGTTAAAAGAAGCGGGGAGAGGGGGGGGGGGGGGTTACTTTCAGCAAGGACGGCCACTACCAACAACCAAGCCCCGAAACCCATATCCCGAAGGCAAATAAGTTGAGGTGTCAAGCAAGAAACATTTTTTTTCTGCTCTTGCCTCATGTATTTAACCGCTTTTTTTTTCTAAGTATACTAGGCCTACACATCATATCGGCAAAAATATTTAGGAGCCCCTCTTTTTATTCCATGAAAAGGGGAAAACTTAATTAAATTCTAATATAAGATCTCATAATCACACTTAATCATAGTGAATGTAAACAGTTTATATTTCCCATCCTGCATCGCTCTGTAGGCGCTTTATTTCATTGGTCAATTTCCCGAGGCGCCATTTTTGGAGGATCGAGAAGGACGAAGAAGAAGGTGTAAACAGCTGGTAAATCACTAAATGTGAAAAGTTAAGATGGTTTCACCACCCAGTGTCTTTAAGACTGTGATAAATGCAATGGCCAACGATGAAGGATTAGTGTACGTATATTTTTGTTAACTTTTTACGGTAAATAGTTGTAATATTTGGCAACAACAAATCTTCACTATCGGAGGCAACTTTTGTTCTGACGCCATTTTGAAAAGTTGGATACCTAAGTTTTAAATTGTTAAGTGTATATATTGCAGAGAGAAAGAGAGAGAGAGAGAGAGAGAAAAAAAAGCTTAACTTAGATTATGGAGGCCCCAAAGGCACCGTGCATGTGCATGCTGTATGTTGTAAAATGGCAACGTTTCGCCTTTTATCATGTTTATTAAAATTTAAAATGTATGCTCCATATGTATGTTCTTTCTCTATATATAAATGAATACTTTTCGGAATAAAAAAAAAAATATATTTTAACACCGCTCAAATTATCCGGATGATAATAGTTACACCGAGCATGGTTTCGTAGTTAAATTTAGACTGTAGAACATCCGGTTTGAATACATGTGTTTTCTGACTTTTCGGATAGCCAACTCTTGTTTTTTGGAACTTACGACTTATGGCAAGGTATAAATTAAATATTTTTGGTTCAAAACTTTGATAAAAGCATCGATATTTTTACAAAAAGTGTCTTCAATCTCAGCTTATCCGATTATTCATGAAGGATATCCTCATCAGAACAGTTGGAATAGATTGTAGCGAATAGCATAACCCTTAATCATATGCATGACGATGATATGGAGGAAAAATATACATAAAAAAGTGAATGTAGGTGAAAGTGTGTCCACTTTTCTGAAGAGATTAGGTTTGTTTTATTGTTTATTGAAATAGTTTACTGCTCAAAAGAATTTTTTTTTGTACTAATGTCTAACCTGTTGAGATGAAGATGTAAAAAAAGAAAAGCCTAATATAGTGAATTAATATTGATAGTATGTCAAGAAATGCAAATGAATCATCAGCTTGAATTATCAGTTTTTTCACAATTATTGACCTGAGTAGGTCAATGTATAGCGAATAATACACTCTTTTCCATATCACATCCTAGCCCGAGACACCAATATCAGCCAGAGGGACAGAGGCCCTAGGGCTGATA